CACACTATAAAAACAAACTATATGATGAAACCATATTAAGTTACATTAGGCAACAAAATTATGCCATGACCAATTGAGAACTAAAGTTTAGAGCAATATAAGCTCTCTTGAGGTTAACTTCTTCAATTATGATTACATAGAATATCACCCAATAGTTTTATATTTCAAGTTTGGAAGTTAACTTGGTAGTTTTTTTCTTTAACATGCACACATACTTGCTCCTTATACACGTGTTCAGTGATAAAATAGTTTCCTAAGCTACATGTGTAATTGGATAAATTTTCAATTTAGGATTCAAGCATAACCTTAATAAATTAACAACGTATGCAAGATATCTTTAAAGATCTACATATTTAAAAATAAAGGAGTTTAATTGAAACTTGCTTTTTCAATCACCTCTAGGTCTTTTTAAGTTAAATAAATTAAAACTGCTTTCTGTGTTCTAAATATTACCTGATAACTCTCATGGCAATACTGAAGAAATTAATTGATCTTATAAGCAAAACCAGAACCAGTCTTGTGATTTTATGAATATTTAGTTTATTGTAACAGCAAATTAAGATGTAATATTTTAATATATTTTTTGTGCAAGTCATACAAGTAATTTTCAAATATTAAGAAATATTTGCATTCATTTTGAGATAGGTTGTTATCATTTTTTTTGTTATAAGTATATTAAATATAAAATATATGTACAGTTAAGTTACAAACCTGTTCTGGTTGCATGTCCACTAGTGTAATGTCCTGGGAGCGACTCACTGAAGCTGACCGATGGTATTCTACTAGTTCATTCAATGAACTGAACTTAACAACCCAAAGGAAAAACTTGCCTTGCATATCACGAAGTACTTTGAAGTGCTGAACACCATTGGGACACCTTTAATCACAAGTTGAACATATATTTGTATTAATTATTATAAACTAAATTTAATATCCAGGAAAAAATAAAATAGAAATAAACAATGACAATGCATGTCTGTACAGGTAAAAATTAAATAATACTAATTTTATGCAATATTAAATGTAATATACAGAGCAATTTTAAAAGATATTTTGGAATTAACAAAATGTCTATGAATATCAAGCCAAGCTTGACGCTGAAGATAAATGACTATCTGCTTAGGATTTTAGAAAAATGATTTCTAAATAGAAATTATGTTTAAAAGTTTTCAGCTTTAGGAAAGTCGTGGCCAGTGACTAGCGTGTACAAATACAAAAATGGTTAAAAACATACATATAAAATTGCTACTAATACAATCTAAAAACTTGCAAATGTAATATCTATACAAAAGTAACACAAATAAATTGTATGAACAATTCAATGCAAAATCATATTTCAAGATTTACAGGTAAATCTACCACAGCTTTCAAAAATAAATGTATGGTGAAGAATCATCAGATCACAGACATGTGTCAAAAGCACCTATCAAAATTACCCTATCCAAGTATGGTAAACCATTTCATCAAAAACTACATTAATATTTCTATTACATTTATCATGCTTATAGTTCAGTAGAAATTGACACAAAATATGGCCAACCCAGACATGTTCCATAACAAACAAGTTTTGGTCTTAAAACTTGCATATGGGTATCTGAAAGATGCAGGAAAAATTCACACATGGGGAAATATGTTTTCTTACAGGTCAACGTTAGGCCTATACAATGCATTTTTTTTGTGTGAAAAGACTACTACTAAACACTGAATCAACATATCAAAGGTTTTTGCATTGAGTTTGTAACGAATTTATTATTATGTATTTATTTTTAATATGAACATTGTTTGGGTTGAATTTGTATGTAGAAATAGGCGCGACTTGCATTATCAGATATGTGTTCCGTATAACGAATTTGTGATATATTTATTTTAATGTCAATGTTTGTTTCGATTAAGTCTATGTTTGAAGGTGTGTCTAGCTTCCTGTGTTAGTTACGTACGGCGAAATTTCCCGCCAATTCTCCAAGATTGTAGAACATTCATGAACACAAGAATCAACAATATCCATTTCTGTATCCGGTTAAATATAGTACCTATAAAAAGGTGGTGCGCCAAACAGATGACAGAGAAGAGACAAGTCTACTATGAAACTGTTATAACCGTGTAAGCTATAAACTGTGATTTTACTAACCCCTATCAACTGGTAAATATATGACATTTGACCAGGAACAGTTATAAATTTCAAACGT